TTACCAATAACATCCAGCAGCAGGAGATAGAAAGAGAAATCCCATTTCAAATAACTGCAGACACTGTAAAATATTTGGGAATCTGCCTGCTCAGGAACTCTATGAACACAATTACAAAGCACTTTTCACACAAATAAAGTCAGATCTAAACAACTGGAAAAATATCAATTGCTCATGGGTAGGCCAAGCTAATATAATAAAAATCACAATTCTAACTAAATTAATTTGCTTATTCTGTGCCATGCCAATCAAACTACCAAAAAATAATTTTATAGAGCTAGAAAAAATAATAACAGAATTCATCTGGAAGAACAAAAGATTAAGAATACCAAGGGAATCAATGAAAAAAATGCAAAGGAAGATGGCCTAGCTATGCCAGATCTAAAGCTATATTATAAAGCAGCAGTCATCAAAATTATTTGGTACTGGCTAAGAAATAGAGTGGTGGAACAGTGGAATAGGTTAAGTATACAAAGCACAGTAGTCAGTGACTATAGTAATCTACTATTTGATAAACCCAAAACCCTCAGCTTTTTGGATTTTGTCACTATTTGACAAAACTGCCGGGAAAACTAGAAAATAGTACGGCAGAAACTAGGCATATACCAACATCTCACACTGTATACCAAGATGAGGTCAAAATGGGTATATGATTTAGACATAAAGGGCAATTCCATAAGCAAATTAGGAGAGCAAGGAATAGTTTACCAGGGGTGAGGAAACCTGTGGCCTCGAGCCCACATGTGGCTGTCTAGGTCCTCAAGTGTGGCCCTCTGAAGGAATCCTCTTCTGTGAAGTTTTTATTCGGTCAAAGGGCCACACTTGAGGACCTAGAAGGCCACAGGTTCCCCACCCCTGCTTTAACCTGTCAGATCTATGGAGAAAGGAATAATTTAATGAAAAAATAAAAGACAGTGTGAAATATTTCATTGGAAAAACAACTGACCTGGAAAATAGGACCAGGAGAGATAATTTAAAAATTATTAGACTAAAAATTATTGGATCAAAAAAAGAACCTGGACATCATCTTTCAAGAAATTATCAAGAAAGACTGCCCTGATATTCTAGAACCAGAGGGCAAAATAGAAATTGAAATAATCCACCTCCTGAAAGAAATCCCAAAATGAAAACTGCCAGGAATATTGTAGCCAAATTCCAGAATTCCCAAGTCAAGGAGAAAATATTGCAAGCAGCCAGAATGAAACAATTCAAGTATCGTGGAGCCATAGTCAGGATAACACAAGATTTAGCAGCTTCTATATATGTATAATCTGATATTCCAGAAGGCAAAGGAGCTAGGATTACAACCAAGAATCTCCTACCCAGCAAAACTGAGTATAATCTTTCAGGGTGGGGGTGGGGTGGGGAATGGACATTTATTGAGAATAGAGAACTTTCAAACATTCTTGATGAAAAGACCAGAGCTGAATAGAAAATTTGACTTTCAAATACAAGACTCAAGAAAAGCATAAAAAGGTGAACAGGAAAGGGAAATCATAAGGGACTTATGGTTGAACTGTTTATATTCCTACATGGGAAGATGATATTTGTAACTCATAAGAACTTTCTCATTATTAGGGTAATTAAAAGGAGTGTATATAGACAGAGGGCATAGGTATGAGTTGAATATGAAAGGATGATATCTAGAAAATAAAATTAAGAGGTGAGAGAGGAGTGTACTGGGAGAAAAAAGGGAGAGGTAGAAAGGGGTAAATTATCTCACGTAAGAGGCAAGAAAAAAGCTTCTACAGTGGAGGGAAAGAGAAGGGAGGTGAGGGGAAGTGAGAGAAGGGAAGAATTTATGACCAAACAAGAGATAGAGAACGTGATCAAGTGTGAAATGGATCATTTTGGTGACATTAAATTAAAAAGGTTTTGCACAAACAAAACCAATGCAACCGAAATTAGAAGGCAATCAGAAAGCTAGGAAATGATTTTTACAGCCAGTGTTTCTGATAAAGGCCTCATTTCTCAAATATATAGATAACTGAGTCACATTTATAAGAATACAAGTCATTCCCCAACTGACAAATGATCAAAGAATAGGAACAGGCAGTTTTCAGATGAAAAAATTAAAGCCATCTATAGTCATATGAAAAAATGCTCTAAATCATTATTGATTAGAGAAATAAAAATTAAAACAACTCTGAGGTACCACCTCACATCTGTCAGATTGGCTAATATGACAGAAAAGGAAAATGATAAATGTTGGAGAGGATGTGGAAAAATTGGAAAACTAATGCATTGTTGGTGAAGTTGTGAACTGATCCAGCTGTTCTAGAGAGCAAGTTGGAACTATGCCCAAAGGGCTATAAAAGTGTGATTCAGCATTCTGTATCCCAAAGAGATCATAAAAAAGGGGAAAGGACCCACATGTACAAAAATATTTATAGCAGCTCTTTTTGTGGTGGAAAAGAATTGGAAACTGAGGGAATACCCACTAATTGGGGAATGGCTGAACAAGTTGTGGTATATAAATGTACTGGAATACTATTTTGCTGTAAGAAATGATAAGCAGGCAGACTTCAGAAAAACCTTGAAAGACTTGTATGGAGTGATGCTGAGTGAAGTGAGCAGAACCAGGAGAGCATTGTACACAGTAACAGCGACATTGTTGCAGTGATCAACTATGATTGACTTAGCTCTTCTCTGCAATACAATGATCTAAGACAGTTCCAAAAGACTCATGATGGAAAATGCTATCCCCATCGAGAAAAAGAATTATGGAGTCTGAATGCAGATCAAAGTATACTATTTTCACTTTTGTTTTTGTTTTTTCTTTCTCATGGTTTTCCCCTTTTGTTCTGATTCTTCTTTCACAACATGACTAATGTGGAAACATGCTTAACATTATTGTGCATGTATAACCTATATCAGATTGCTTGCTGTTTTGGGGAGGGGGGAGGGAAGGGAAGGAGGGAGAAAAATTTGGGACTCAAAATCTTACAAAAATGAATGTTGAAAACTGTCTTCACATGTAATTGGAATAAAATAAAATTCCATTAAATAAGAAAGGAAGGAAGAAAGGAAGGAAGGAAGGAAGGAAGGAAGGAAGGAAGGAAGGAAGGAAGGAAGGAAAGAAAGAAAAGAAAGAAAGTAAGTTAGTTCAGGAGCAGAGACACTGGGAAGATAGAGTGAGTTTGGGAAGTTGGGAGATGATTCAGGCTCAAGTTATCTTCCGTCACTTAACACTTCTCTTTCCTATTATACTGTGAATTAAGTAGCTCCCTCTGAGGCCCTTGTGAATTATGACAGGGTGGCTAGAGGGGGGCACCCACTGAATTCCTACTTATTTGTCTCCCTTTTGGCAGGGACATGGTATTATTGCTGCCTGAACTATGTGCCAGGGAGATCTCCTGCTGGAAGAGACCTTGGAGGCCAGCCCTGTTTATCTTTTCGAGGAGGGGCTATAAATAGATGCTTATTGACTGACTAATTGAAGAAACAGGCACAGAGAGGGGGAGTCACTTGACCAAGGTCATCCAGCTAGCCAGTAGCAGCTGAGGTCCTAGGTCCTTGACTCCAAATGCAGCCTTCTCTCCACCCACTGAAAGAGACTGAGTTTTGAAAAAAGAGGAGAGGTGAGAGGAGCTAGAGAGCCCACCAGAGGCTGGTCAGCAAGCTTCTCACTCCAGGGGGAAGAGAAAAGCCCAGATGTGAGTGGCAGGAGATGAGTTCCCTGCTCCAGAGAGTGTCAGGGATGAGAAAATCGAGAGAAAACCATCACTTGGTCACAGATCATGGAATGTGGGGGCTGGAAGGGACCATCTTGGTCCAACCCTCTTATGTCACAGGAGAAACTGAGGCCCAGAGTGGGAAAGGTCCCTTCTAGCTCTAAATCTGTGGTCCTATGATCCCTACTGTGTGGCCAGACATCTGGTCTTTGCCTGAAGGCTTGCAGGGAGGGGAAACCCACTAATAAAAACAACAACAATAATAATAACTAGACTTTATAGAGCTTTAAGGTTTGTGGAGTACTTTTCAATTATTATCTCGATCTTTAAAACAACCCTGGGAGGTAGGTGCTGTTATTATCCCCATTTTATGGATGAGGAAACTGAGGCTGAGAGATTAAAATGGTTTACCCAGGGTCGCATTACTAGTAAATGTCTGAGGCAGGATTTGAACTTGGGTCTTCCTGACTCCAAGTTCCATGTTCTAGCCACTTGGTTACCTAGCTCCCCACTTATGCGCATTGATCATTGTTTGAACACTTTTTCTGACAGCAAACCTAGATCTGCCTCTGCAGCTTTCTTCTCCTTGCCCCTACTTCCAACCATCTCGGGCCAGGAGGACCAAGTGCCCTCCCTGTCCTGTGTGGCAGCAATTACTCGAACACTACTGTCTCTCTCGTGGCCCCCAGAGCCTTCGAGGCTCAGGGGCCTCTGCGCTAAACATCCCCAGTTCCTCCGAGAATCCTCCTGTCCCAGAGTCTCGGCGGCCCGGGCAGTCCTGCCCTCGGCCTCTCCTCCTGCCTCCTCAGCCGGGTCTGGCGTCGCGGCTCCCGACCTCCTTAGCGGAACTCTCTCCAGCCCAGCTCTGGAGCATTTGGTCAGAGATCGCATCTGAGCTCATCAGCTGCTGCTCCCGGGCCCGCCCCATCTATTCGGGCCTTTCAGGGTCTTGATTCCCAAGCTTTAGGAGACTGAAAACCTCCCCTGAGCAGGGGACTTGTATTGTTACCGGCATGGCAGTGGTTAAGGGAAACAGGGGAGGAGCCCGAGACCCGCCGTCTAAGCCCCTGGAGAGGCTGTGAGGAGGGGGAGCTGAGCAAGGGTGGCTTAATGGTTTCCAGATGTGCGGCTGCAGACTTCCTTCCCTTTGGCGGTCTCGGGGAGCCCGGGGAGACAAAGGACCAGGTGTTACAGGTCTTAGGGAGAGAAGGGGATTCCAGGGGAGTCATCACCCCGCGAAAGAACTTCAGATTTGGAGCCAGAGGACCGGGTTCAAGTCCTGATTCTATCATTTACTCTCTATGTGGCCTTAGCCAAGTCACTTACCTCCCTTCTCTGGGCCTCAGTTTCCTTTTCTGGAAAATGAGGGATTTGGCCTCAGTGACCTCTGAGCCTCTGATTTCTTCCATGAGGAGCCTTAGAGGGGAACATGCTGGGCAGGTCTGCTTCCTAAACTTCCTCCAGTGGATGAGAAGTGTTAGATTGAAGTCCTCCTTGTTCTGGGGGCCCCACTGAGGTCTGCTCCAGGAGAGAGAAGCTGTGACTTTTGCCCCCACCCCCTACCTCTCTCTCCTCCTCTGGGGAATCCTGGGTCATCTGAAATGTTCAGCCTCACAGGACTGCTTGGTGAGGGGGTTCCAGACCAAGAAGCCCAGCTTCCTCACTGCTTCCCCCACCTCCACCCCTTGAACCCTCCCCCAAACCTAGAATACAAGTGAAGCATGTTACAGTGGACAGTGGACTATAGGGTTAGAGGATCTGAGTTCAAGCCCCAGCCTCCTTGACAGCCAGCCACCTGGGACCAACACTGCAAAATAAGCCTGGCCAATCTAGAAAGCCTGCCTTCTTGTTGTTGAGTGAGACCTGGGATCTTGAGACAGTGGGGTGCTGGTTGGGGGAGGGGGGAGATCCTAGGACACAAGCTGGGGAGTCTGCAGAGGGAAGGAGCAGGGCAGGGTGGGCTGGGGAGCAGCTCATACGGGGATGCCAAGGAAGCCTGGCCATCTGCTGGCTTCCTATTTGAACTAATTAATCTCGCTAGCTAGGTGCTAAGCGCATTTGTTTCTTCCTGTTAAAGGAAGTGCCAGGGCCATGAGTGTCCTTTCAGTTTTCGCAGCCTGGAGAGAAGTCAGGGTCACCCTGCCATCTTCCCCATCTGGCTACGGATGAGCTACGTGACCTTGGGCTAGTCATTTCATTGCAGTTTTCCCCCTTGTAAAATGAAAGGGTTAGACTAAGTGATTGTTAAGACTTAGTCCAGCTTTAATCCATTTTCGGAGTGGGGAGGGGAGTCTGGATCTGTGACTTCTGGGAAGGCTGGGGAGCTCCCTGTAAGAAACCTGCCAACATTAATGCAAGTTAGGAAGGCTGTCACAATTTACAGCCTTAGAGAGATGCCTGGCGAATTGAGAGGCTCAGTGACTTTGCCAGGGACACACAGGCAGCATAAGCCAGAGTCTTTCTGAGTTTGAAGGCAGCTCTCTCTAGCACTAGGCTTCCTCCCTTCCTCCCTTTAGACAACAGTTTTTAAGGGCATACAATGAGAGACATCCATAGTGTGGTGTGAGAGAGAGGGAGAGGGAGAGGGAAAGGGAGAGAGAGAGAGAGAGAGAGAGAGAGAGAGAGAGAGAGAGAGAGAGAGAGAGAGAGAGAGAGAGAGAGAGAGAGAGAGAAGGAGAAGAGAAAGGAGAGAAAGAGAAGAGAGCAAGAGGAGAAGAAAAGAAAAAGAGAAGAGAAAGAGGAAAGAGAAGAGGAAGAGAAGAGAGAGAAAGCGCTGACCTTGGAGTTCAGAAGAACTGGGTTCCAGTTCTACCCCCCTACACACACGCATATGTGCACATTGGCCATGTGATCCTGGGTAAGTCATTTGTCTTTTCACTTCCCCTGGCATCTCTCTTAAAGTTGCAGAGAAGATGCCAACCTGTATTGGGAGATAATTTTCTCACGTGGGAGTTTCCTCTTTCAATGTAATCACCAGTGCAGCCCCATCCCTAGCCTGCTGTGTACAGCACATCCATTCTGCCAGGCACTGAAGGCTGTGCAAATGTTAGATAAGATGGTCCCCACCCTGAATGGGGCTAATGCTTTACTAGGGGCCATAAATGCCTACCCAGGTAACTACAAGACATGTGCACTGTTCTAAGATCAATGCATTGGAGAGTCACAAAACAAGGGACTGTGTGTGGGAGAGATGGGCCTTGGGTGGGGCATCATTAACAATGGGATGACAGAGCAAGGGACTTGGGGGAATTGACTTTTGAGTGTGGGTTGCACTGAATGGCCTCTGAATGCCCTAGACTCCCAAATCTGTGATGCTGTGATTCTCAGTGGAACTTTAAAGGGTCGAGGGGACTTCAGCAGGCAAAGAGGAGGAGGAGGAGGAGGAGGAAGGAAGGTGTTCCTGGCACATAGTGGTAATCATATAGTGATTATTATATATGTATTTATATACTATATAAATATAAGATATAATATTATCATTATATGATTGTATGCTGTTGAGTTGTGTCAGGGATGTCCAACTCTCTGTGACTCCATTTGGGTTTTTCTTGGCAAACATACTAGAGTGGTTTTGCTATTTCCTTCTTCAGCTCCTTTTACAGATGAGGAAACTGAGGCAAACAGGGTTAAGGGACTTGCCTAGGGTCACATGGCTAGTATGTGTCAGAGACCACATTTGAATTTGTGTCTTCTTGACTTTTAGATGGGCACTGGGCTTGGAGTCACAAAGACATGGGTTCAAATCCAGTCTCAGGCAATCCAGTGATCCTGTGTGTTCCTTAATCATACTGTGTCTCAGTTTCCTCATCCATAAAATGAGAGGTTTGGACTCAGTGGCCTCTAAAGACCCTTCTTCGATCATATTCAGGATCCTATGAAACTTGCCTGATTCTTCCCATCTTTTAGCATTCTCTCCCTCTCCTGATTGTGTACAAGCTCTTTGAAGGCCTGGGTTAGTCTGTGTCTCTGTAATGTTAGTAGATATAGTACTTTATACTCAACATGGACGTCATCCATTTTTGTTCACTTGAAATGAAATATGAGCTGTCTCTAAATATCTCAAGGGTAATTTGGAGGATGAATTAGCCCATTTTGCTTGTCTCAGAGGGCAGGGCTAGGAGGTAGACCGCCCCCCCATAATTAGAGCTTATCCTATCATGTTACGTTAGTGCTCAGACAGCGGCAGCGGTAAAGGAAGGGGAAGCTGCCTTGGGGTTGGTGAGATGCAGTCCTAGATGACTGAGGCCTTCCACCTCTGCCTTCCTCAGCCCCCTCCCTATGCTAGGCACTCTAAAGAAGGGGTGCTTATAACTGGCTTCCTAGCCCAGCCCCTGGGGTTCCCCAGGGAATCCCACAGTCCTCTCTCCAGGGCCATTCAAAGGCACTCTCCCAATGGCCTCAAATGGCAGAGCTTGTTGGCCCAACGCTATCGTTAAGCCCAATAATCTCATTTCATAGAAGGTTTTGGGGGGAGGAGGGGGAGGGGATGACAAAGAGGGGATTGAGGGGAGGAGGCAGGAACTCCAGGCTCAGGGTCATTTGTGAGGACAGGGGGTGGGGGACATTGGTTAGCTCTGATGGTCTCTTCTCTCTTCGCCACCTCCCTGTCGGGATGGGGAGCAAGTTAGATTCCTTATCCAGCATGCCTCATCTTTGCTTTGCAGAAGTGAGAGCCAGAAGGCTGGGCCCAGATTCCTACAGATTTAAGCCAATTGTGCAGCCAGCCACTGGCCCGCAGGCTTAAAGCAAAGGGAATAGGAGGGAACATGCAGCTTTCTCCATGAACATTTTAGGCTGTGGGGAGGGAGGAAGGTGGAAAAAATAGGGTCATGGCATCATGGACCTAGAGTCGGAAGAGACCTGGAGGCCACCAGACACAACTTACCCATTTTAGAGATGAGTAAACTGACGTCTAGAGAAGTAAGATGATTCGCCAGATTCAAATCTCTGACTCCAAAGCTAGTAGTCGTTCTGTCTCACCCTCTGCCCTCCCCTTTCCCTCCAGGACACAGGACCAATCTTTCTCATTTGGGAGCTAAGGGACCTCAAAGGCCACCTTCTTATTTTACCGATGGGGAAACTGAGGCCCTTGGAAAGTTAGTGGCTTTAGCAATCGTTGACCTACTTACTAGGCCACCTAATCAAAAGAGATAATAATTGTCTAGCGCTTAGCACAGTACCTGACATGTAGTAAGCACTATATAAATGTTAGCTGTTATTATTATCGAGTCCAACCTATGTATTTTACAGGGGAGAAAACTGAGGCCCAGGGAGGTGGAAACAACTTGCCCAAGGTCACACAGATATTAAGCATCAGAAATGGGACTTGAACTCGGGTCTACCCTGCAGGGTATGGGCCAGGATTTCACAGGAGCCAGTCAGTCTTTTCCTGTTCCTCTGAGATACTCCCTGCTTACCTTTCATTGCCTAAACTGTCCTTAGCAGACTGTTTCATTCTCCAGTAAAAACTTAGATTTAAAATGCAATTACCTCTGACTGGCTATAAATTCTGAAAAAAATGATTGATATCTTTTAGCTTCATATCATTTTCCTTTCCAGTCATAACCCTCCCTTCTCTCATGCCCAGAGACCTAGCCCTTGTAACAAAGGGGAAAAAACTCGGCAAAACAAACCATAAACCAAGTCTGACTGTGGATGTAGCATTTCCCACTCGTAGGCCCCCACCTAATGGAGAAAGGCATACTTTCCCATCCCTTCCTCAGGGCCAAGCTTGGTCCCTCAGCTTTCCCAGTGTTAAATCCTGGGTTGCTTCTGTGCTCCCATTTGTCTTAACACATTCTTTCTCAAATAATTAATACTTTGATTTAAACTCATTCATTCCCACCTAGTTGTCAATGATTATTAGCTTCTTTCTTGGGGGCATGTTTTGATAATAGGGCAGTGAACACCTGAAAAGGACGTAAGATGCCAAGGATGGGAGAAAAGCCACAAAAAAAGGGAGGCTGAAGACTTCCCTTTACCTTTACCAATATGGCAGCTTACAACATTGGTCCACTTCTCACTTTTGCTCAGTGGGGGCCCTGTCTCTAGCTTTGGGACTTGTAGGGCGTGGGGAAAGAGGGAGCACACAGGAAGAGTCCAGTAGAAAGACTTTGTTCTTAGAAGAATCAGATTGCTTACTGGATTGGAGTGAGAAGACCTTGGTTGCTTCTTACTTCCTATGTGACCTTGGACAAATCTTTTCCCCTCTCCAGGCCTCATTTCCTTTTCTCTAAAATGAGGGGGTTAGACTGAATGGCTTCTGAGATCTCTTCTTGCTTTCTCTTGGCCATCAAGGCCAACTGCTTCCTTTTTATAGGCAGAGAAGGGAAAGGATTTACCAGAGGAACACAACAGGTTGGCTAGCCACCAAACTAACGCTGGAGGGCCATGCCTTCCTGCTCTCTGTAACCTCACGATGACAGCCCTTTCCCTTGAGAAGGGCCCTCCTTGCTTGGAACCAAGAGCAGGTGGGGAGGTCCATCCCCTCTAGCAGGGGGCAGTCTCTGCTGGAGCTCAGTGAGCCTTCTGCTCTGCTCCCTTTCTAAACTGACTCCAGGCTGAGCCAGCCATGGTCACTCTGTTCCTTTCCCCAGGCCAACCCTTCTGGGTTGGTGTTTATTTACTGTGACTGCTGTTTCTGTTTCATGGATTTTAATTAAATTACTTTTTGAGGTGGGTTCAGAGGCCCATTTCATTCAAAGGGTTCAGTCTCTTTGCACACTTTCAAACCAAGTTAAGGAAAAAACCCCAGCCCAGCAGCCCTCTTATTGAGACCTCTAAATGTATCCCTGAATGGAGACACTGGGGCTGCTGGTAGAAGGTGAGCCTGCAGGCATCAGATGTTTGCCTGTTTATTAGCCCCAAACAAGGTCAGGATGCAGGGGGGCAGCAGCAGTGGCAGCAGGGTAGCATGTGTCTGTCATCCATGGTTTTCAGAGGCCCCTGTAAGCATTCCATTGACAATGCCCTGAGTTAGGCACAGCCAGATCCATGGGGGATGATGGGAGGACAGAGAACAGGCCAGGGACCACCTGTCTGTGTGAGCTGGCCCTAGGCAAAGGGAAGGGGAAGAGAATAAACATTTATGTAGCACCATTGTAACATTTTAAGAAAGGCACGGGGGCGGGGGGGGGGGGGGAGGCAGCTAGATGGCGCAGTGGATAGAGCAATGGCCCTGGAGTCAGGAGGACCTGAGTTCAAATTCGACCTCAGATACATGAGACTCACTAGCTGTGTGACCCTGGGCAAGTCATTTAACCCTGATTGCTTCAAAAAAAAAAGAAAGAAAGAAAAAGAAAAGAGGGAAAGGACCCATATATAAACAAGAAAGGCATGAGAGGAAACAGCAGGCATTTTAGAAGGAAGCACAAACCAACAGGACAGTTTTGAAAGTTACATGTAGAATTTTTTTTTAAAGCAGCAGCATGGAATGGAGAGTCATACTTTCATATAGAATCCCTATGTGTGTGTGTGTGTGTGTGTGTGTGTGTGTGTGTGTGTGTGTGTGTGTGTGGAAATGTTGTTTTGGGGTGGGGGGGTTTGAAGTTCAGAATAAAAAATAAAATAAAACATCCCCAGCCCTGCAGAACTGGGCAGGGAGCTCAGAGATGCTCCGCTTACACTATACCATATTGCCTTCCTTTTCTCATCTGTAAAATGCGCATAATAACACATCTAGGATCATAGCTTTTACAGATGAGGGGCAGAGAAGGGAAACCACCTGCCCAGTGGTATATAGGTAGGAAGGGACAAAAGCAGGATTTGAGATCAGGGTCCTCCAAGTGAAAAATATATGTCTTATTCCCTGGGGATCCCTGGCTTAGGGGGCTTCCTCTGCTTTTGGAGAAGTGCTCTGAGCTGGGG